GCCAAAATTTCTTCCATTATTCATGTTAATTTGGAAGCTGCTAGGACATGACGTACTCTGCCTAGGACATCTCAGCAAAACCTATGTTCTCAAAGGGCAGCCACTTCTGTCAGCTTCATGCACGAACAGATCAATCAACACTTTCAAAAGGATGTTACTAATTAGCTGGTAGTTACTCCACGAGCTTATCCAAAAGCTGTTTAGCAAAACAGCGAGCAGTCCTTTTCCATCAACTCAAAGAACACGACTGCAATCTGGTACAAGCACAAGGCTAATCGTCTGTCAGCCTGGGACCAGCAACTTACACTGATGGTAAAATGCAGAAAGTCTGCCCATCCATTCTTTTACCTTTGGCAAGACACTCCTTTTCCCAAGCTGATTCCTGAAGAGGTGGTGGCGTTATCAAAATAATCCTGTCTTCAGTAACGTCTACTGACTTCAGATACTGTATCATGCTCTTCAAGTTCGCAGCATATTCCTCCAAAGGAACGTGTTGCTTAGGGTTCAGATCTGTTAGGGGATGGAGCACATGCATTAGCAATGTTAAACTGCTTACAGATTTATTACTCAACGTGCTTTTTACACAGCGTATGAATGTGGGCACTCATTCTCAGTAAGCAGTTCACCTCAACCATTGATTCAGGAGGTGTCGTGGGAGAATTCCATTCCTCAATATCCAAAGCAGACAAATCAAGAGTTTAAACACAGTGCTTCCAACTAATACAAATGAGGGACGCGGGAAAAGAAATCACCTTTTTTTTCAAAGATGCTTTGTCTTGCAACTCTGTATCTCAGTATTAGATCACATAATCACCTCAAACTTCACCTGAAACAAAAGCTAAGATTTTTTCACTCTCTTGGATGCAGAGAAAAACTTCAAAATTCTCATGGACGTACAGACAGTCCTTCGTGCACTGAGGTTATCATTTTGATTAGACTAGCTCTGCATGCTGCTATGCTTATCTTAAAGAGAATCCAAATGCTACCTTCCCTCATTTCCTCAACCCATCTGCTAAGAACCCATCAGACTGCTTTAAAGGCAGAAAAATCAGTTAGATGCCCAACTCCAATTTTAGGTGATGGATACATAACTAATTCTTGAGCACCTTGGAATTTAATATTAAAACTTGGTGAGAGGGAGAGAAATAGAAGGCACTGCATGGTTTAAATACAAATAAAATGATTGAAAACAATCCACTGTAAAACTGAAAAAAGGGCAACCGCTTCATAGAGAAGTGGCAGGAAAGGTCTGTGTGATTGTTCTGCCTTTTCTGCTAAACTGTAAAACTGTCTTAAGAGAACAGGTCACAGAAAAAAAAAAAAAGTAGAATACCGTACCTTTCAAAGCACTGTCATTGGCTCCAAAGAAAATAGTAACCGCAACAGTACTCTCAGCACCAGTACTTTTACTGATCAGTCTTGGAAGGATCAGTTTAGCCCATCTGGTGTTGTACCCGGAGAGCCCACGGTTCACAACATCACATTTTCTGAAACAAAGACACATATCAAAAAGAACACCTCTCCTCTGCCCACCAGAACAAAACTTGGCAAGTTTTGAACCATTCTGTCAGGACACCTGCCTCCGTCCCTCTCAGAAACGACAAGATGTCACAGGAGTTTTCAGTGGGATTATAACTTTATGTTTTGAAAATGTACCCACAGATTGCATGTGTACTATTCACCTGTCACTTAAACTCTGAAACTAGAACAACAATCTTGACAATCACTAAGGATTTTTTTTCTTTCCACTCAAGCTTTGAGTGGACAGAAACACCCAATGAGTATTTCTACCAGTATTGGGCAGGTTACCACTAAGGCAGTTCCACTTCAATAAATAAATGAATATTAATTAATAAATACACATTAAATATTAACTTGCATTGGTTTTCTTTTAAAAAAGCTGCACGACTTTTTGCATGCTAGAAATTACTTCTGAAATTTAAGCTCTTACCTGGTCAGTCTCTCAGCAAGGGATGCCCCCCAGCCATTTTCCTGGAAGGAGAACTGAAAGCAAGGAACACGGTTAGACCATCTCTGGAAGAACTCGCTCCCCAGCAGGTCAGTCCCACCACCGGCACCTTCCCTCCTCAAAAGCTTTTTGTGCGTGGCCTCTCACGCTGCTGCAGCAGTGCTTCCTCCCTCCCAGCCTGCCCTGTCCCTGCAGAGGTGAAACAGCCCGGATCTTACCTAGATACACGACTAGCAATCAGAGGCAACGTGGGACCATACCTACAGAGGGACAGACCCTGTGGTCCCTTTGTAATCAAAATGGGCTGCTGTCAAGCTGTAGTTTCATTTTGGGTGGTGAGGCTTGCTTTCCCCCCGCCCCCCCTTTCCCATTTTCTACTTTATTTCTGAGATCCTTTCACTGTGCCGTCATTCTGAAGACATCATTCTCTCAAAAATCCTCTCTCCACATGCTGCTTCAGAGTACAGTTCGATACCTACCTCTTCCAGGAGTGGAAAAATTAATCCCTTCTCCTTATTCCCACTGCTGCACCATCCTCCCTGTTACAATGCTCCGCCTGTTTACAGAGCTGCACAGTGAGTTGGTTTAGACAACTGATCTCCCATTAAAGGTGATAACCTTTGTCTTCAGCCAAATCTTTTTTTGTCAGAGCAGCTCTGTGACCCACTCCACCATGCAACCCATGCAACAGAAGGGAGGGACCCAAAATGAACACTAAAAAGCTGGTATTGCCTCAAAGGAGATGTTCACCAAGCCACGGTCTGGTCACGTCTCTGGGGCAGGCAAGCTCGACGCAAGGAGCTGCACTGAAGGGACACACCAGGAGCCAGGACTGGGAGGAGCGCAGGGGTCAGTACAGACAACAGGCCGTCCTCCCCGTCTGGAAAAAGCCACTGCTGCCGAAATACCAGAAGCTACACTTTTACCAGCTCACACTTCTAACACAGGAACCTTACGACTTTCTGCCAAATAGCTCTAAACCTCGTAAAGGACCATCAGGTGCGAAAGCCCGTGGAACACTCTCACTGGAGATCCAACAGGGACATAACTATACCAGGCCACACTCCCATTTCACTGCTCTCCTTCCTGCCTCGTGGTGCCAGGCCGATCCCCGCCACCCACCAGGCCTCTGTCAAAGCCGTCCCAAGGGGATGGCTTCCCCCTGGCTGCCTCACCACAGGCTGCCAGG